TGTCTCCAGTGGTCATCTGTAGAGTCGGGCGCTGGTGGAGTCTTCGAAGCCACCTTGAAAAATTGGTGCCTCTGCCTCTGGAGTCTTCGAAAACCTCTCCCCCGTCGCGATTGAACGGCGTCCCTTTTGGGGCGTCCCTTTTTTTTGAACGATTCTTACATCGTCGGCCACGTGAACGATGTCGAGCTCGCACCCCTGGTGGCTGCCACCCCGAAGTTCGACGAAAAAAAGGAGTGTCACGAGCCTGACATCATGAGGCCTAGCTTCTTGTGCAGCCGCTGTCTGATTCTCCTGGACTTCGTCTCACGACCCAGAACCGGAGACTGGACCTGGTGACAGCCTCCCGATGAACCGAAGAAACTCCATCTCTTTCACCAAAAGATCCACTTTGACCAAGCGATCAGGAGACCGGCCACCTGTTTCGTTCAAACACCATGGGGTGTTTTGAAGGTCTTTGCCTTTTCTCTCGAAAATGGGTGACCCTACCCAGGAAGGACTCTCAGTCAAGGCACTTGGATCCGTGTCCTGTTGCGTGTGGAATATGGAGGGAGGGTGCACCAACACCGGACCAACATCTTCCATGGCAACTGCCACTTCCAAAGTCTGGTTGAACTTGAGTAGGTGTCTCCACCCTGGCCCAATGGGCATAGACTGGTCTATTTGACCTTCTTGCAGGAGGTCTTTGGAACATCTAAATGAATACATGCGCAATTCAGTCTCACCAAAGAACGAGAATGTCTTAAATTCTGACTCATACTGCTCACACTGATACTCGAGTTTTCGAGTGGGCGGAATTCTAAGCAATTTTGCGACATGGTACCTCAGCAAGGTAGTTTTGGAACTTCTTGGAAGGGTGTGTCTCGACAGGATCAAAATGACAACATCTCCCACCTCATGAGGAGCTGGACTGGTCATGAGCAGAGTCCAAGAGCAGGAACATTAGGGGTTTGGGGGGTTCCTTTCTTCTCTATGTTCCTTGGGTGCGCAAGGGATGTGGAATGAAGCCCCTTAAAAAAGGTTCCCTGTTGGGTCCGATACATTTGGGTTATAAACGTTGTAAAATGTATACATTATCAACTATTTCCATATGGAGTGTCTGGGATGGTGCTTTTTACATGTGTTTCCATGGGCATACTTCTCAAGTTCTCAAGGTTTTCTGTGGCTCTGTCTCCGCCCACTTCCGCACCGACCGTGCATCATCGGAAACCCAGGGACCCTGTGCCAGACCAACGGACCCAACTCGCCCAACAAGTCCAAGCTCTTCGGGAGTTTCACCGCCTGATGTAGACTCTTGATTGATAAACTTCCCCATATGAAGAGGATGTCGAATTCAATTGGGGGATGTAAAAAAAATCCGTCTACATTGGTAAAGGCTCAGATGCATGGAGGCTCAGAACCTTTGGATGAAATTACTATCTTCCAGCCAAACTTCCAGGATTTACCAGACAAAGAACGAAACGACCTGAAAACACCACTCACCCATACACACCCCGAGAAAAAGGCGGGGGCAAAACAACCCGCAACCATGTGGGTACCCTTCTGAAAAAGAAACCGTTTCTTCATGGGAGTCAATGTTTCTGAGGCACATACACACCCTACAATGAGCTCAGCACGGAATTCATTTCAGCCCGACTTCTTCGCCCGCCATTGGCATGTTCCACATCGAAAAAAAGGAACAAGTCTCCTCTTCACCGCGCGATTAGGTGCTTCCAAGCTGGCCGTGGCAGCACGGTGTAACATGTCCTGTGCGCGGAGAAAAAGGCGTCTTTCGTGCAAAGCACCGGACCGTGAGGAGGAACCTGAGAAGAACGGAGCAAAAGAGAGGCCCAACGGAGCCGAGCTGGGACCGCCTTTGTCATGTGCAGCTCGAGCAAAAGAGACCTGTGGGACTCCTTAGAAGGAGTCATTTTGACCGACCAAACCCCTTGGGAGAGACCTCCGACCAATCGATCAAGGGGAACGCGCCCATCTCGGTAGTCAAGGGAGCGAAAAGCCATTGGTAGTGGTCTTTTTGCTACACTCCACTACACGCACCTGTGACACACCTATACATGCCAGTTTTATGTTCACAGCTCATTCAAGAGGATTCCCACACATCCAATGCATCAAGGAGTTCCTTTCTTATCCGAAGGTTAAGAAGATCCAGAAGAAAGTCTTCTGCTGAACCGACACCGTTCTAAGGACGTCCAACCCTGGAAACGCAGATTCTGAGTTCCTCATGAAATCCTCGAAATGCTTCCCTACATGTCCAGACGAACGCAAAAGAGGTTCAGCTGACATGAAAAAGGAATCTAGGACCCGTCAGCTAGGGTACCGAACTGGGATAGTCTATAATATATGCTTCAACCTCTGTTGGTTGTATTGATGGAAATCCCTTGCCAAGCCCCCAGTGCCACAGTGCAAATACCAAATACCTATTATAGAATACCTAAACAAGGTGATCTCAAATGGTCTTTTCCGTTTGAACTCACCAGTCTCATCTGTCATCAAAGTTGCATCTCATCCTCCGCCCATCATCCGCAAGGTCATTGACCCATGTGAGCGGCCCTATCTCGTACTGATTCATTCGTCTCGCCAGGGCATTGTGGACTGTGGGGGAATTCATCAAGAGTCAACATGAAGGAGAGGGAAATCGGGGAAATCGATGCGCTTTCTATCATGCGACCTGTCGACTTGCTTGGCTCCCAGTAGCACACCTTCTCGGTCAAACAGGTCACCTACTAGACCAGCTGCTTCCAAAGGGGTCACCTAGCTGGACAACCCTTACCGTCCTAAGGTCTCCAGACAGGGCACCCAGACAGGAAGTGCGAAGTAGTCACGATACTTACACCCAGGCCATGCTTTTTGCTATACAAAAACCAGGTTTTTGATGGTTTGTATATGTTTGTATACTACAAAGGTGACATGACTCCTCCCTCCATGACCTGACGAAACTCCGAAAACACCAACTCCTCCAGCTGCGCTGGCCGCCGGCGACGCACGACTTCACCCATGATCTTCGGATGAGGCCTGCGAGGGGTTTGGGGTATCTTGGCCCTTGCGATTTCCAAGACCAAAAGAAAGGAGAAGACCTTGTTTTGTAGTGAAACAATGGTAGTAGTTCAGTCAAGGCAATTAAACATACATGTTGACATCGTAACTATAGATTAATATAAACATTAACTATATACTGTTAATCTCGTCAATTCATGGGCTTCAGCTGGAATCGTAGGGCTACAAAAGTAGGCGCTGCATGGTGTTCGGATGATTTCTGGGGAAGTGGATGTTCAAACCGTTCAACCCTCCTTTTTGGTGGAGGGAACTCACAAAAGGAGCTGAATCTGAAGGTTCCTTGTTCCTTTACGTTCCAGTACTACTTAAACATGGAAGGGTTCCTCCATTCAGGTCCTTTGTTTCTTGGATGAAAACCTCACAAAGAAACAGTACGAAATGAAGTACTCGCGTCCCTCCCCAAAGTGAGGCTTCACGGTCGACCCAGGGCTCGTCACGGAACACCGGGTGCAAAAACACCGCTGCGTCACCGAGTTGGCTCTTCGGTGTCCAAAGGTCGACCCGCCGCGTTCGACGGACGAGTCTGCGGGCGCCGTCGGCGAGACGTCGCCCAGCGGGCCAGCGGGAGCCCCGGCGGAGTGTTCTCGGCTCAAAGTCACGGCGAGGCGCGCGGCGAGCGGAGGCCAGTCTGAGCCGAAAAGACCCACCAAAAGCTCGGAGGTGGGAGTTACAAGCTCCTCATGTTTCAAACCCCCCAAAAGGGAGTACACCCTAACCCAGTAACCCAGACCATCTTTGTATACCTACATTGGGGTGGTTGAGAAGGGGTCAATGTAAGCATATATTCCATACATGGATGGTCCGGGTAATACTGGTGGAGACATGCGAGTTGGGGAATTGCATTTTTGGGACGATTAGGAAGCCTCCATCCAAACATATATCCAAATCAAGTTGCCATCGTTTTGTATAATATATATATATATGTGTTTTATGTATACCCTGGGAGTCCAGGCCTATTTTCAATTGGTCTTTAGGTGAACCGAAAAGGAAATGTCCTTTACCTCGGTGGTCCCAAGAATAGTCTTTGGACTTCTAGGGTATATAGTAGGTATATAGTATATACCTGTTTTCGGTGTTGGAATCAACATTGGACACTTCGTTTTCACCACTGCTTCGACCAGTGACGAGATCTGACGACTTCACCTCGCGCATAGAGGACCTGAAACCTAGACACTGCCTAGTGAGGCAGGCAGTGTCAACATCTTCCAACCATGCAACTCTTCCTGCCGACAGATCCATCAGGTCCATAGCCTTCGGCCAACAGGATCCATGGTCTAAGATCCGGTTCTCTCCGAACCGGAGAGAAGATCAAGGAACCGGATGAAAAGGAATCAGAAGGGAAGCTCTGTCCATATGGAAGAAGAACATCGATCCGAAGCAAAACCAGGTGGACCTGATTCTCAACCCTCAGAGACTTGGACCCCCCAAGCTTCGTGTTCCGGACCCGACACCACCTGAGGGTTTGACCAGGTGCGGACCCTGAAGAACATCTTTGTCCCATTGGAGTTGGAGGGCCCGGTATTCTTCGAAAAGTCCCAAGCAGACTGGGTGAACCAAAGCAGACTGCTTGGAAGACAGGTCTCCCCAGTTTCTCAATTGATAGACCATGATAGACCCAACACTGAGAAAGCTTGGGTGCCTATTTATGGAAGGGGTTTTACAAGCGGGGCCCAAAGGCATTCGGGTACAAGTCGGCCTTTGGGGGTCGGTGTGTTTGATACACCCTGGTCGGTGTTGGCCTGACATAGCCTGACTCCGAAAGACACTTCACTCGATGGATAGGCACTCGGAACCAAATGGGTAGACTGCTCTATTTTCCTTCTTCCAAGGGGTCATTGCCTGGGAGGTCTCCCCATGTTGATATACAACCAATATCGAGTTGAGCTGGACTTCCAGGAAGGAAGTTTGATCCGTTTCGGGCCATGCCATGCTGTCTTCGATTCGCCCTCCTCAAGCTTCTTGTTCTCTGCGTGTCCACTAATGACCTGAGCGGCCAGCGTTTGGGCAGTGTCACCACGACCTTCGTGTCACCAGGGTCCATTTCAAAGTGGTCCAAATTCTATGGGACTGGCAAATATTGCCCACATACATCCCTACCAGCCCAAAATGAAGTGATTCGGCAGCCAGTCACGTGGTGGGTCTTCTATAGAGCAAGCCTTAGTATAAGGAGTCTCTTTTCACCCTCTCTCACCCCGGATGGTCAACAAATTGGCACACTCAAAAAGGAGCTCCAAGCGATTCCAAGCGTTTGAGTTTGGATCACTCCAGTGACCCACTCGAAGCTTGGAGAACAGGACACCCCAAAGGTGTGACATGATGTCCCCATTCAGTTCTCATTCAGAGATCCCTCCTTCATTTCAATTGGATGGTTTTGGCACAAACACAGTTACGTTCATAGTTCAAAACAATTCAAAACAATCTACCTTGCAGAGGAGTATAAGTGAAGACATCTGTGGAATTGTTGCTGGTCACACTATTCTAGGAGTTCTTGGATCCCGTATCCTTCCAAGTGCATCAACTTCGGATCTTCATCCACGACATGGTTTGGTCCCTATATGACCATTTATGACCCATTGGCCCCTTTTTAATTGTGGCTCCTGAGTACAGCCTACAGCTCCACCTGAGTACTAGCCCTTCACCATTCACCGCCTCCCCCTTCACATCCACCGAACTCGCAGACCGGAGAATTCGGAACTCATAGGACCGGAGGTGCCCACGACCGGGCTGATCCAACAGCTCGCTACGACCGCCCCGGTGTCGAACCGAGTCGAGGCACGGGACGGGACGACCCGTGGGCACGACCCGTGGGCACGACGAATGCCTAAGGGACGCTTACCGACCTTTTCGGTGATCCTGGATGACTTGATTTGGACGGGCTTACGTGGACGGCTTGAGTACCATTGCTTTGGGGATGTTCTAGGTTCAAAAAAAAAACAGCCGCATGCCAAAACGCCCAGCTCCAGATGTTGCACGTGTCAGACAGCTAGTTCATGCCATGTCGATTCCACCGTCCGATTTGGGCCGAGCATGATGGAAAACATCCTAAAACGATCTCCACCTTGCAATTGCAGACGTTCTGTTTGAAAAGCCACATGGCTGTGCGCAATAAGGCGACCCCCCAAAGACCCAGACATAGGGGTATGATGGGGTAGACGGTCTAGGATATGGAATAGGCACTCTACGACCACCATCACCGCCTCCCACTCCCGGCTTCCGGTCCTTCGACCCCACCGGGATCCGAACGCACGGAAGAACGACCCGACCTCCGTGCGAGGCACATAGGTGTTGGCGCCCACGGAGGCTTGAACCTTTGGGGTGGCGAAATGGAGCACCTGACCATCCTCTTTGAACATGTTCACCTGGCGAGTCTGGCGATTCGGCGGAACTTGACTTGGGGCACCAACTGGGTGACATGGGGCACATGAAACTTGGGCACGTAATCACCCCAAGTGACATGAGTTGTTTCTGTTGGTTTGGAGAGGACAAGCTTTGTTGGTGGATTTTGGGTGGTGCTCGCTCTTAAAACCACCTTCCAAAAAAACGGCAACAACAAACACAAGGTGTTCCAACACCAACTTGTTAGAAACGCACGGCTGCGGGGGCGTGTTACCATGTTTTAGTACCAGAACTCACTGAACTTTCACGTTGTTAAGCTGTTACCATACTCAACTTGATACCCAACATCCCATCATTGTCATGCCAGCTGGCTCTTTCACCATCTATCCACCTAAAAATGAATAGGTCGCAAGCATGAAACCACAGGAAAAATGAGAAAGATGGACCAATGGGGGGAAGTACTGGTTGGTTGGAGAACATTTGCCCTAAGAATGCTGCATGTCATCCCACCCCTTCATCATGGCCCCTTCCTGTCCAGATATGACTGTCGATCAGTTAAACACCTCCGACGTTCGGCCGTTGCCAGGAGAACTCAAAGGCGCCTCCTCGATACCCGGGATATTGTTCACACCTGCGACCGCCAGGCTGCCCGATGAGGCAGGCAAAAGGGCAGAAGACAACCCTGGCAAAAACATGTGTAGAAGCAGTATGTAGCAGCAGCTATGTAGTTCTTGCTGATCAATGCGTTTCCTTGATCTGCTCCTTTCCAAAATTGTCAGGTGCAGCACAGGGGACCTCCTCAATCCTACTGGTGGGAAAAATGACAAGCTCTGAGGTCTGCTAGGTCTCATTCTTTAGCCATCCCTAGAACTTGGCCAAGTTGCCATCTTCAGAAGGCAACATCCACATAAAGCAGTCTCGGTTGCGGTATAAAATACAAGCTATTTACCAACTGCTATGGATTTGGATCTGACAGAACTACTTCCCACCTGACCAGTGCCTGACCAGCACAAACAAGTGTAGAAGCAGCCTCGTTAGGCTGCCATCACCAAAGGGACCAAACGGATGGTCCTGGTATGTCCTCGCTTTGATTCATCCATTCGACCCAAACAAATGACATCGAAAAAACTCTAAACAAGACCAACCCTGGTATCAGTTCTGCCCCCAACCCAGCATGTCCAGAACCCTCCCAGGCTTCTTCGGGACCTGTCCTTCCAAGCGAAACACCGCCTTAGACGACCGGGTCCCGCTCTTCAGCCCGCCTAAGCGCTTCAACTGTGCCTGAAGCTGCTTGTCCTTGGCCAAGTGACGTGCAACGACCCGAGAGCACCGCAGGGGGTGCAGGTGGGCAAGCGTTTGTTGTCACAGCAAGCGTTTAACCTTTGTCGTTTCACCGGCTCACTTCGAAGGACGGCGAACACACTGGGAGCGGGACGACCCCGAGTCGAGGCCATTCACTTGAGCTGCTCAACCCATGGCTCCAAATTTGAAACCACGGTTCCTAAACAAGGTATAATCTTGTGAATCCTGGTTCGGCAAACTCACCTTTGGACCCCGTGGTTCAATATGTTCGATTGCTTTCAATAGCACGGAACCCTCTGCAACGGTTGGCAGGGTTATATAACAGTTATGCTGTGGAGATACCCATATAACTGGAAATTAGGATACCCTGATATCCTCATTTAAGAAAGTCATACACGTAGGCTGACCATGAGTAGAGAAGACTCTTCAAACAGAGGCCCCAACGAGAAAACGCCCAACCAACGAGACGAGGAGTTCCAACCCACCGTGGCCGTTCCGCGTCGCACCAAGGACCGCACGGGCCGACTCGCTGCCGAGGCACGTCCGCGCCGTTGCTGGCGTGCTTCGAGAGCTTCGTCCGCCGGGCCGTTCCCTTTCCACCGGTCCGGACCTCGGGTGAGTTCGGTCCGGAGGTCGTTCGGAAGGAAAGGAAAAGCAAGGGCAAGGAAGGCAGTATATATAGGTGCTGAAAGGCTACCTCAACAGTGGTTAGAAGTTTGTGAGTAGTTGGCGGTTAGAGGTTAGTAGGTGGTGTTAGTAGGAGTGGTGGTAGTCGTAGTGGTGGTAGTAGCAGTAGCAGTAGCAGTAGTAGCAGCAGTAGTAGTACTGTAGTACGTAGCAGCAGCAAATGCAACTGTTATTTTCGTTCTTTCTCTCGATATGAAGCCAAAAACAGAGCTGCACTGCTCCGATGCAAAAATCCTGCATTTCCAATTGGCTTGTTGGACCCTGGCACATTCTTGGAGCCGCTGTTGGGAAGTGGAAGAAATATATGCACAATATGAATGATTCAAATTGTCATGTCATTATTCCTTTTTTTTCTTATTGCGTCATTGCGTTTCTTATTGCTTCGTTTTTCTCTTGTCTTTTTGTCAACCCTTCCACTGCCCTATCAAGTTGGACAAACCTCTGGGCCGATCTCCAAAGACAAAAACATATAGAAATATGCAGAGTGTAGAAGTGCTTCCCCATCACTGGTGCCACATGAACTGCGCGTGAACATGATGTACCTTTTTGGGGGGACCGAGCGGGCCGAACAGTTCATTGAGTCCATCAACCAGAGCATCAATGAAAGAACTGGCTGAGGCAGCTGAGGGTGGGAAACAGTTCAAACACCAAAGAAACAGTTCAAACACTGTTCATCCCGAGAATTGAAGAGGCACCAACTTCACCCCCATCTGAGTCATGGAGTGAGGGTGATGCTGGACGTCAGTGAACTCATCTGCCAAGTTAGGCAGGGGGGCTTCGCATATTCTTCCAGAGAAGCTTTGTATGAGATGCATCCACCTACCAAGAAACGTTGAGAGACCTGAACTGGTACTCTTCTCGGTGATCCATGTCCCTGACACTCCATGTCTTCAAACTACCCCAATGTAGGTACAGTACATATACCATACATGGAGTGTGATACATATGGGACAGGCTGGGTTGTTCAACCGATGTCTACCGATGTCTACCATCTCCTCTCACCGAAACAAGTCAGGTCCCGCGCCGCATTGAAACGCCTCACAGGGGTGGTCAACCAGTCACAAACATCTCAGCTGAGAAGCATCAATGAGTTGGATGATCGGTGGGGGCCAGGCTTGGGGTCTCCCTGATACAGCTTTGGAGTAACAGAACCCAGTCACCTACATTTACTGAACTCAGTCTATGGCCCTAATGTAAGTAACGATTCCAGTCCCATGGATGGTCTGGGATTAGTTGCTTTCTCATTAAAAGAAGAGCAAAAGAATGCAAAAGACCACCACCATTAACAACAACAGCAAGAAGAACGGCAGCAGCAGCAGAAGCAGCAACCAGAAGCACAAGTTAGTCGATGTTATCCGTTCAAGGGGAAGTGAGAAGGTATCCCCAGGGTTATTCTGGACCCTGGCAAAACGACATCTGCTCTTCTGCCTCATCTCCTAGCACTTAAAGTCCAAGAAAGGTGGAGCGAACGGACGAAACAAGCTCCACGCTCAGAAAGCACTGAGAGGTGTTGCGTTACCGTGTCTTTCTGAGAATAAACAAACGCTTCAGTTGTTCCGCAGGGGAAGAAGGAAGAGCACACGATCTCTCCATTTTGAAGGCTCTCTGCTGGTGAAACCGATCCCTGATAAAACTCAGAACGATCTTTGTCTTGCAAACCCTTTCGATGGCAGGGCACCGAGCAAGTGACGTTTCGCCGCAAGTCAACCGTTACTGCCTCCCAAGTCGACTCACTCCCAAGCCCTTATCCAAGCGCAAAGAGCCTTTTTGTAATGCAAAGTGGTGCAGAATTCGCTGGGTCTCCCAATCGGGAGAACGTGCCGCGCCGCTCCCCGACCGGCAGCAGTTGGAGGGGGCTGGGACCCAGGGTTTCTAGGTGTTCAAGGGTCTGCGTTTGGCATCTTTGAGCAAATGCATAAAACATGCAGACTTACAGCTGAAGCTCCCAGAACTACCACCCCAAATACGGATGGTCTGTGTCAAAAATCTAAACCTTTGTGAACCTCAGGAAGATGTCCTTTCGAAACCGGCTTGTAAGTTTAACTTCGAGAAGACTCTTCTGCTAAGATTCGAAGTCCAACGCTACCACTCAGCAGGGTTAGCTATCAGGCCTCAACCCCGCTTTACACATTGCTTTCGGTGGAACAAAAGAGAGAAGAAAAACACACTCCTCTCGGAGAGCCTCTTGGAGACTTCAAGTGAACATCTTGCCAACAACTGTGGCCCCCGGAATGTTTCTGTGTCAACTCTCAACTGCGGCCTGGCCAGTTCAGTGGGGCGCGTGGTCCTACAAGGTTTTCGGAATTGGGCTCGGCCACCCTGGTGAGGAGGGCATCATACGGCGGCTGCCATCCGTCGAAGGTCCGATTCCTCCAGTAGAAGACCAACGAGAGGAGTGACTTTCTTCTGCAGATCGACATCTGGACTGCCAGTTGATTGAATCCTAAAAACATGGTCTGACCACAAAGCCACACCACAACAGGAGTTGTGCTCCCTGCTAAGGCAGTTCTCTTTGTTTGGTTGTTCACGACTCGTCCTCATGGAGGACGGGGCCCCGCTGAAGAGGAGAAACTTGGTCTAAAAGGTCTCACCTACGTGAGTGGATGATGGTGGGCAATTGTGAGCCTTTAGCAAATGTGATCATCTGGTTGGTGGTTTCAACTCGCTTACAAAGTATTCGTCAGTTCAATATTCCCAAGTGAAGGCTGAGACCAAAAATATCTGAAACCACCACCCAGTTACCTTCTGCAGACTACCAAGTTGCTGGAAACGGAACAAATTCCTCAAATCTCCCAACTCAAACGACAGATTCGTCAGCCCACTCGCATGGGACGGCCATGGAAAAAACCCATCCTTCAGCTCTGTCATGCACGCGCAAGAAGGCGCCAGAAGGCGCAGGAAGGCGTGATACCCAGACTTGCTAGATGTGAGGAGCATGTCTCGGTTCACTGTGTTCCTTGACAAACACCCAAAAAAAGACCTGAAGTCAGGGTCTGTATCGTAACATATAGCTGTTGCAAAAAGAAAAACCAGCATGACAAGGAGATAGAATTGAATCCCACTCAACATATTTACTGTACCGAGCTGCACGTGCTCACCGCCAGCTACCATCGTGCAAAATCAGAAAACATCCACAAGACAAGCAAGATACTTAAGAGTCTCCTAGTAACAAGTGCATTACTACTAGCAGCTTCTTGCTACGTTCGTAGCGATGCACCTGCACCTAATAGCGATGCCCTTGTTACTAGTAGCTTCTTGTTCCTATAGTAGTAAGGCCAGGAGCCCGTTCGTAGCGTCCGATCGCTCCGTTCGTAGCGATGCCAGGAGCCCCGAACGTAGCTTCTTGGCTCCTCACGTCGTGCGCCCGGCTTCGTCGTCAGCGGCCCCTGAGAGTATGCTCGTGCGCGCGCTCTGCATCCGCACCGAGGCGCATCACCATCAACTCCTAACGGCTCGTTCGAGGCGCAACAAGGGAGGGACCGGCTTGGGACACATGAGACGAGTGCTTGCAGTAGGCCATCTCTACTTTCTAACAAGGGCTTTTTTTAAGACCTATTATATAGCCTAATTCTATGTGGCTAAATACTGCTATCACATGTTGTCGCATCAAGTCTTTCCTTCACATGAGCCGCTATAGGTTCACCAACAGAATTGATGTTGCCAACCATGCGGTCTCCCCCTAAGCGCAACTTACACGTGGCAGGGGCGTCTTTCGAACGCTTCAAACTGCCCACCCAGGGTCGTCTCCACCAACAGCGAACCACAAAGGTAAAACTCGCTCCAAACAGCTCTGGGCGTGGAAAAAAGGATTGAACAATATGTTCTTCATTGTTCTTCTTTCATGGCCTCCCACGGAAAGCTTTCAACAAACAAGGTCATAAGATCACCCTCCAACTGTTGAAAGAGACGTCATTTTGGTGTTTAACATTCAAAGAAATGTAGACTTCCTACTTAAACGTCAAACTGAAGCTTTGCAAGCCCACCCATTCGGTGCCTCCCGCAAGGTATCTCCGGGCGCAGCCCGCCGGCTGGCTGAAGACCTGGAGGTGGACGTTGACCACCACAACCGCCCGTCGGGCGCGGTGCTATCGGGGCGCGGCTTCCCCCTTTCCACTGCGGTGTTTTCGGGGATTTGTCCAGGAAGCCGGATTCACTCAGACCCGAAGAATCCTTGGACCCAACACCTGAAGGAAGGGGTCCGGACCCTCCAAGTTTCTTCACTCAGGTTCCTGGGAGAATCGTTTCACCTCTTCAAAACCGATTTCAAAAAGCAGTCAGGTGCAGGTGGAGAGTGGTCGGGAGGGGTTCTTAGAGGGTTTTTGGACGCCAAGCTTCTGATCAGACTGAAGAACCCTGAGTGTCCCAGAACTCTGATTCCGTTGAGCGAAACTCGTCAAGTTGGTCCTGGACTTCAGCCCCCCCGATTCATCCTTCCGCAGCTCCGTCCTGCCCCGGCCGCGTCCATCCTGCGGCCGGACGAGTCCCGCTGGTCGCACAAGGGCCAGGTGAAGCGTGGCTGATGGAACATGCTGGTTGTGTGAGGATGGGTCAAAACCTGGAGCCCTGGTCCCCGCATGGCGCCATGACCCACAATGACCCACAGCTGTGTTGGTCAATACAAGTGATGTTGTGGAGTTCATCCTCTTGCGAAGGCATGAAGCAGCTCTGATAATGCCTTGGTTGCCTAGTCAAGAACCTCGATGACCGATTTCCGAGATCAAACACACAAAAGGGGCACCTCACAGGTCTTATCTTTATGTGTTGTCATTGTTGCCGAGTAACAACAGCAGAAAGAGTCTAGACTTCAGTCCTTCTCCCAATGACAAGTATGTTCAACAAATTGGGTCAACTGCTTTTGGGTGACTCTCAATCCCTTTGCTGATGTAGCTGCTGGCAAAACGGCTTCGGCGACATTTCCAGGTC